CCCCAAAACCCCAAAACCCCAAAACCCCAAAACCCCAAAACCCCAGCTGGTTCGCTGTCAATTGAAAGGACAAAATTCGGTTTGCACCAATATTAAAAATAAAAATGGAAGGATATGTACAATATTGCGATGAAGAGTGTAAGCAGAGAGCTAAATATTATGATGAAACTGACAAAATGTACTACTGAGAACTTCATTATAAATAATCAACCAGAAGATACAATTGTGCTTACATCCCCAGGCGAGGTCAAAAATGCAGTTAATCTCCTCATCAGAGGTCTCAAGTTCTTTATGATCTTTAATCATCACAAACACACAAAAATTAATTGGTCGAAAGTCAAGAGGCTTCATAAGGAGATGATTAAAGATGTGAAAAATCTTGAGAAACGAATTAGCAAAGCTGAATCTAAGCAGGAGCTTTACTTGTTCACTGCTCTTAAATAAAGAGGCAGAACAAATCAAGGAGACTATTGATGAGGAAAATGTGTTCAATAGATTCACAAATAATTATTTCTGGAGTCTTCTAGAGGAAGAAAATAGAGCCTCAGCTCCCTCGATGTTAGCCTATGACATTTACAGAAACTTAGAGGAAGTTGATCTTCATCAAGAAGAGTTCATAAAGAAAAATGCTGAGATAAAGAAATTAAAGAAGCAAGTGAAAAAGCTGAAACAAAGTAAGCCACTAAATTTATGCAAGTTGCATGTATTTCCCTCTACCAAAAGATCTGAACCCTTGCGCTTCTTTTAAGCTCATAAATTGAGCAGCATAGCTTAATTATTATATGACGAAACAGAAAAGACTGTTAGAATAAAATAAATTTGGAAGCGAGGTAGTCCAACAAAATTAATGCTGAACTTCATTTATCCACTCATTAAGTGGATGCTTTAAGAGTCAGCACTCTTAAAACTTATGCTTTTCTCAAATTTTAGCAAGTGAAGGCTCTCATATTTAAGAAGATCGACTCCCACATCATAAATTTTATGATGAATCTATCAAAATTTCATTCTGATCGATTAAAGCATAGCATTTTTTTACATAAGGTGTTACTATATTTGTATGTTATCTAGGGTTACTATAAGTCTACCAGAAATATCCTAGGGCCCTTTAAAAGCGAGCCATGCTGCTCTAGATTTCAATATGAAGTCTTTGTTGTCATGCTCGCCCTCATTCATTGTCCAACATTTGGATTATTACTATTTATAAGTATGAATTTTATGCAAATTTCTACATCTTCTGACTATAGCCAATACAAGCTTACTAGATTTAGGATCTTCTCACAGAGGTTTTATCTTGCATTCTTAAAACCCCCTCTAATTTCCATTGATTTCTTCTCACAACTGCCTTGTGATGCTCACTCTTTGTAAATTGAGAGAAGTACAATACCATTCCTCAACCCTTCCTCTAGAAATCTCCAGACTCCAAGACTCCAACGACTCCTCCTCCACTGAGTCCATTTCTGAAAGCGACTCCTCAGTAAGCCCACTTCCCACTACATGTAGGCCTCTTCCGAAGAATTCAAGTCTGCTCTGCAAGAAGAGATGGCCAGAGATCCTGAGTGTAAGCCCCTGCTCTAGTTTAGGCAGAGAATATGTTGAGAAGATGGGGGAGAATAAGGGAGCGAAATTTAGACTAGAGAATGGACTAGATAGAAAAGTCTTCGGGCTGATGGACCAGAATTCATTAGTAGACTTGACTTACATAGATTTATGGCGTGTGCAAGCGATAAGTCCAGGTAAGGAAGTTAGACCATGCTTTGAATAATTACAGTTGGTGTTAAATAGACGAATTCCACACCTTCATAACCAAAATCCCCGAAGGACTCCAATTCTTTGACATTGGCTTCAGAGACTCCTCAGTCAAAATAAGTCCTTACTTACCTTCTCTCCTCCTCCTGCAGCCTAAGCTCAAATCAAAAATATGCTTCTGGTACTGCACAATAACTTCTGAAGAGAAAGAGCAGATAGAGGAGACTTTTAGAGACATCATAGTTGATTTTTGTAAGCTTTCTAAGGAACTTATAGGGGGTAAGGAATGGCTTTTAGTTTAGACGGAGTGGAAATAACCGAAGATTAAGAAGAGTTGCTGGTAAAGTGTTGTACTAAGTTTAGAAGTGGGAGTTGATTCAACTGGAATTTTGTGCTGGGGTTTTGGGGTTTTGGGGTTTTGGGGTTTTGGGGTTTTGGGG